CGGCGCGCGCTGTGGGGTCAAGTAGACGACCTCGTATCCTGGGTCTTGGTTAGACCCTTTGCCTCATTGACGGCTGCGCCCACAGGTCAAACTCCTTGACTTGCGACCGCTACCAGCTGCCCCCTAGACCACTTCACAATTATTCTTATCGTTCATATGTGTACACGTTGCGCGTGTAATCGTAAATAGTACTCACTGCATTATTCGTTTCATTCATAAATTCTACGATTCCAAGAAAGCTTCAACGAATGACTATCACGGCTACGCTTCAAACGGAGCAGACCGATTCATGGTGCAGGAATGCCTTAGCCATCGAACGTACATTCGCGCAAATCAAAGTTCTTGGAAAAATATGAGTCTACAATTCGATGAAAAAATTAGAGTAATTTCAATTATTCTGCGTCGCTCATTGGTAACATTTTAAACGTGTCGAAATATGAAAAAATATTGAAATTTCAAATTAACCCTTTCAATGGTAAGGGTGATAAATGGTGCGATAGAAATTTTAAAAATAACGAGGCTATTACAGTCTTGTGAAATAAAAATGAAATATAGACTAATTTGACTGATTGTTCTTTTACAGTATTATTTGATCATTTAGTAGCTGGAACAATATATCCCTCCAATGATACGTAATTGTTTTTGAAGAACAATGTTCAAGGTAGTTTCATCGATTCTCGTTAATAGCGGTACAAGTTGGTGAGAATAATAGGGGTCGTTTTGTTCCACAGCTGTGCCACTTGTATACATAATACGCGCCACTTACGAAATCGAGCATCAGAGGGTTAAACCCGATAAATCTCCTTCGCTCGCCCTTTTGCTCCGTCTTTTTCTCTTTGTTTTCATTTCTACGCTACTCATTCTCGAATCTTTGTTCCCTACGTAACGTCCTGTTTGTTTTAAAGGGTCACGAGTGCTGTTCAAATGGGCAACGGGTTAACACATCCAGAATGTAGACACGTTTTCATGATCGTTCTGATCCCCTTGCGAACCTTCCTCTGCAACAAATCAGCCGTTAATATACGTACGTACACGCAGGAATAAATTCCTCCTCTTAAACAGGATCAATCGTTATTTTGTTCCATTATTAACAATGTGAAGAAAATACAAACTCTTCTAGCTTTATACACAATTAAACACAATTTTGATATTTTCAAAAATAAGTTTTTAATTAAAAAATAATTAACGTGATAACGGTAGTTGGTGATCAATTTCAGAATTAAATTATCAGGAACAGGTGTAGCATTGTAGGGTTAAAAAAGAAACGAATAATTTGCACTTTCTTATAAAATAACGTAACTTATAAATTGATAATCTATCATAATCGAATTTATCTCTGGAGTGACAAGTATCACGGAATGTTGTAGGTCTGCCGCATCAGAGGGGAGGATGGGTCAAGGTAAAAAGGGGAGACGGAAAAAATGTTCGGTGGAGAGTATGCAGTGGGTGGCACGCGCCCAATGCCGTAACTTTAATATATAAACGCTTAACAGGCTTGGTGTAACACGAGACACACCGGAAGGGACGTCAGCCGAGTGTCACTCAGTCATTCAGTCAGCTCCACTCGTTTCGTGGCCGCTTCTCGTTCGCTAACCTCCCTCTTTCTCTGCCGCCCCCCTGTGTCATTCTTGCGGTAAGTGTTCGCGCGAGTACGTCAGCACGCAACACGCACGTAATGTACGCGCACGCGTACCCGTACTCGCACTCCTATTTCGAAGGATGAGATCGTGTTTCGAGCAAACCGCGATAAGAGGCGAGGGGAGAAAGAACACCAGCCTTATCTAACTGTTAATTCACTCCGACCCCTCTCCCCCCTCTCTTTCGAGCACGCTTTCTTTTCTATTGACGAATCATCCCTCCTCGGTTTTCGATCTCTTTCATTTCGCCTGAGAATTTCGAGGTTTTTATTAGGTACTTTATTACATTTTTTACGTAATAATTGGGGGAGGAAAAATATAAATAATGTGACTTTAATGATTACTAATTATAGGATGGTAAAGCGATTAAAGTCTAATATGATTTTTCTTTTTAATTTTCAGATTCATATTCTTTTGGCTTTACCGAATGGACATCTCCCTTTAAATGGTACGAGATTTAGACACCATTGAACCGCACGTTTAAATGGTCATTTATTAGAAGTGCGGGAGACAGAATGGGAGAAAGCGAGGATACAAAGACACCAGCATTGATTGCACTTTAATTCACCTTCTCTTTCTCTCGTTCCCTCGAAGTCTATTCCACTCGAATGGGTCAAACGTTTAAGCAGGAAGTGCATCACCCTGAGAATACGAGTTTCATCTTTCATTGACGAAGAACTTCTTTTTACGAACTCGTTTGCTTCATTACAGAATCAGTGTTTTTGTTTAGAGACCACTTTGGTTGCATACGGACCATGCAAGTATTGGTAACATTTTAAAGGGCGTTTAAAATTTCAACATCAAGGCAATTCTTTGATTATCTTTGTAATTTAACAACTGTAACATTGATAAGTAACGTGGAAAGAAGCCAATCGTTGTACAAACAGCTGATCTATTTAGTCAAGCAATTAACTTTGAATTCTTGAACGTCCTCTATCTAAGGTTTCTTTTCTCATTTACAAGACGTTTGAATTGAGACAACCCTTTTTCTGTTTTCATCCCCTCAATTCGTGTATTTATCTATTTACCTATTCCTTACGGATAGATTACAATTCCGCAACAGTGCTGGAAAAAGCTTTCTGCGGGAATTCTCAAGAAACAATTACCAACCTAAACGAAGTTAATTGAAGCCATTCAAGATCATGGCGAACGTGTCGGTGCCGGTTGTAGACGAAGACAAGAAACAACACTGTAAACTCGGTTTTGCTGAGTTTACTCGGCGTGTAAACGAGCGACTGCTCGTTTTCACCGCGCCTAATAAAGTTAAATGAAGCGCCTACGAGTGTCTTTCTTGTCCATCTTGGCTCGGTCTTTGTCGTCAAGTCTTTGCGACACAACACATTTCCGGCCGTTATCCCTACCTTTCAACCCCCAATTTATTTTTTTGCAAAGGCAATTTTAAACAATATTATTAATATTTACCAGTAGTCTATAAACTTTGTGATGGACAAATTTTCAAATTTTCAAGTTTCCAAATTATCCAACCTACATTCAAGTTTTCAATTTTCCAAATCATCCAGCATTCAAATTTTCAAATAAAAAATTTTCTACCCATCGCTGATTTAAATACCTGTATAGAAGATATTGTTGACCAAGTTCCTTTTATTCTGCAATCAGACTTATACGATGAAGGAAGCAATTGGCAGAATTTATTTCATTGATCTAACCTCGACTCCTTTTACTTTCCAGCCTTTCGTGTTGTTTGTCGCTTTCTTCTCCTCCCTCGACGTTTCAACAGAGACATACGAGTAGTCCGCTCATTCATTCGGCTGTTCGACGACCGTACATTCATTCATTCATTCATTCATTCGTTTAACACTTTTGTGCTACACGAAGATACGGGCCGTCTGTCGTTGGCGGTATGCGCCTGGGAACCTCTTAACCGTTTTGTATAACGTGATTACTTCAATCCTGTTTCTTCCCTTTACTACCACCCGAATCCCGGCTAGATTTTATTAAATCTCGTAAACATAATCATAAAATTCCTTCGTCGCACCATTTGTAACCATTAATAATGCGATCGAGCGAATATCCTGTTTGTTGATCAATTCTTTTTTTTTTTTTGTTAATCAAGGTTATGTCGTAATAGGTATTGAAAAGACGGATGAAAAGTGGGCGTCTTCGAACGAAGGCGACGCGACTGAAAGGCCGCAAACTGGTTCGCTCCAGACGTCTAATCGCGAGCTCGTAATTGCTACCAACTATGCGGAGGTGGCGATGAACATGGTACTGTTGGCGGCCTCGCGTCCTCTCTCTTTCTCTCTCAAATAAATTAACCGAGTCGTCTTGCGACAGTACGAATACTTACATAGGTACGCGGCCTTACGTCATGCGCGCGTGGCTGGCTAACGGGGTACTTGATACTATCCTTGAATCTTACTCGAAATTGGCCGCAATCAAAGTGCCACGTCAACATCCCCTACGCGTCGCTACTCATCCACCGCGTTTGACTCATGGAAATCGAACACACTTCCGCTTAGAAGAATATTTTCTTCCATGGACGTCTGAATTAATCATAGCACTATTTCACTACTTCTTCCTTTTATTTCTTCGTTACACATTCGATAAAAATAATAACCGATTACAGAATAAACGTAGAAATGTAGGAAGAAGATTTCAAAACGCTCGCTACGAAAATTCTGACGGTTTGAAAGAAATGTCGGAACGCGTTTGGAATAAACCGCAAATCAACCACCATTCCTCTCACGGCGCATCCCCATAGGCTAGAAATTCGATGTGAAGCCCCTCTTTCACCCTTGGGTCCCAAGTGGGACAGTTACCCTATGAGAAGAGGAAACCTTCTGTTCGGAAGCAAAAACCAGTCTATTCCTTTGCCAGTGGGGGGGGAGAGGAAGAGATAGGAGGGAGAAAGAGGGTGAAACTATATGGAACGATTGGTGCAATGCGCGCGTATGCACAAAAATAATGTAACACGGTACCATTGAAATCTATTGACGCGACACCCTGTACAAATGCGTCGCACACGTGTGATGCGCCCATTCTGTTTACGAATCTCGGACCAAGGGTGGTTATATACATGTGTTCGTGACTTCTGTGGGAACGCAAAATGGCGATGTCAAAATAACCGCAGGCAATTTTGGAACCGATCGGACAAGTTGGATTTCTTTTGGAAATTTCACAACGGATAGAGACGGATGTCGATTATTCAAATTATTTGAGATCCATAAAAGTGATGGAAAATATGCGAATCTGAAATAGTAGATAATTATTGTTAAAGACATTGAATTATAAAAACTAAAAGATTTCAGTATTGAACCGAAGATTATTAAATATTTTATTATAAGCGTGGCTCTCTCCATGGTCCGCCGCGCCGTCGGTGGATTAATTACCCACTCTATGTAAACGTGTTATATTGAAAAGTTTTATTTGAAATAATATTTGAAGTATTATTCGCAATAATTTTTCTCATTACAGAAATCAAACACTTTTTATTTTTATATAAAATCTCTATTTGTTTAGTTGTGCCAACTGTTACAATGACACTCTGTATGCATAAATTAGCGAATTATGGCATCGTACCAAGGGCTCCGAAAGACATCACGGCAACCCTAGTCACCGACTCTGCGAATAACGCTGACGACATCGACAATAATGTAATAGCGCAAAGTAATTCAGCGAGTTACCGACTACTTACTAAAATGCCAGGAACACTTACGATCTTTACGTGTTTTGCAAGCCCTGCCTTCTCTGTTATCAAATTCAAGCAGGAATTGCAAATACTTTAAAAAATACAAATTTATAATAACCTGTAAAGAAAATACAGTAATATTAAAAATAAAAAAAAATCTTGAAATTAATCCGTGAATAATGGATGACGTGGTAGTTATACGCATAGCGAATGCTGAGTCAAACATGGCATATCCGCAATCAAATTTTTATGTCAGATCTTTATCTTGTTACAAATTTCAATTTTTTAAATTATATTACTGTTTAGGGAAGGTTGTAAGGAGGGGTTGTTATAACGGAGAGGAAACATTATTTAACACTTTAGTTTTTAATGCCTCGTGTATCTAGTAATAGAGACATTTATTTTAGGTAAAAAAATGGTACTATTTCTCAACGAAGATAAAGATGAACATCTATCGTATATGTACACGGAGAAGTAACATACGTACAGACCACTTGGAGCAATTGACCACGCAAGTGTTTACGGTCCCCTTCGGCTACGTGATGCTATGCAACATTCGTTTAGTCTTGCTTCGTATGTTGCTGTCAACCGTTATCAGTTCAGTAGTAATGCGCAATGACAGAGCTAATTTCTAACAAGTATTTCTGTAATTAGCAGATTTGCTACTCGCGATCATGCGTTACCTGTTCCAATAAATCTGATAGTTGTGCATGAACGATTATTTATTTAGAAAGACCTCAAAGCCGCCGATGAAAGTAGTTTATCTAGGTGCCGTTATTGTATTTTTAATTAAACTATCAACTTTGTGTGATTTGCAACATAGTAAACTGATATGTTAACACTGTAATTAAAACGACGGACGTTCAAACATACGATTACGAACTTTCACTTAAAAATATTGCAGCTACGTTTCATTGGATAATTAAATTATCAATTATTCTTTTCTGAATATTTATAGATATTGATAAAATGGAACATGTATTTTTAGTAAATATTAGCTAATGTATCCCATCTTTACTAAAAATTATTTTTGCTTAAATTTTGCAAAATCAAGTAAGAAATAATTGCACAAAATTTAAACAAAATTGTTATCATAATTCTAAAGGAAATTAGGAAAAGTTACTTAAATTCTTATGTATTTTGTGATCGCGATGAAATATTTTCAACTAGCGAGTGAAAAATAAAATATTCGATGAAAGGAAAGGTGCATCGGTAATTCCGAACGATTGGAACGCAACGTCAAAGAGGAGGTTTAAAGATAGAAGAATGCGAAACACGTCTGTCAGTGGAGAGGCCGCGGGACTCACAATCTCATCTACAGATCTTAATCGGTTGCCTCTCTCTTTCTCTTTCTCATTTGATTCTCGGCCCTTCAAACGCTTCAACTCCCCGTTCAACGTACACGAGCGTATGCTATTATCTTATTTACGCCTCATTGTCTCAATGTATCATACCAATATCGAGCGGTCGCTAGTACCGAGCAACAACACGTTCCTGATTCGTGTCCACGTGAAAGTAACCCGCCTAGAATTTCTAAACTACGCTCTATCGATTCCAACCCCGGAAAAAGAAACGAGTCTCACACGTAACAATTCATTGCTAACCTTTTCTTCTTCTAATATCATTAGTCTCCAATTCTAATTTCTGAAAATTTTTTAGCTTTGACCTTTCTAAGATTATTTTTCCACCGAATTCCCAGTACTGCAAAAACTACTATCAACATCCACGTGTAGATAAAATCTGGATTTTCATAGGAATTTAAAAAATATTTTTTTTTCTAGGAGCAAAGATCTAGAAAAGAACAGCGCCGGGTGAGTTTAATGGACGGACCTCGAGGTTAGGATGGTTGGTAAACCCAAAGGACGAGGATACTCGTGAAGGCCGTTGGACGTTGGAATATGGTTTATGGTTATATTGAAGCAGTAAAGCAATTTCCTATTTCGAAGCTTTCGACCTCGCTTCGTTCTACCATTATCCATTGACTTTGCTCGGCGAAACTTTTATTCCGTGCTGTGTTTTGACAGCCGGCGGGTTCTGCCTGTTACTTTTACGATCGCCGGAGATGGGATTTTAGCCGCGTTCCGCGATATTTATTACTCCGTGCAAAGTGTACACTAAACCGAATCAAAGGTGTTAGAAAGAAATTTGTAAGTTGATGGTTTGAAAAAAAAAAAAAAGAAAGTAGACTAAGTAGATTAAGTAGTTAGTAGCACAACTAAGGGTCAGCAAGCCTATCCATTAGGAAATTAAAAAACTTAAGGACCAAGGATGATTGACAAATAGTAGACAATGTTTATCTAGAAAAGTTTTGAACATTTATTTCGAACGATCATACACACGAGATCCATGTGTATCCACGACTTTGTAATGTATACATGTATACATATACACTATATCCATACTTTTACGAATAACAATCTGCGACTATGTACATAAATTAACAAAATCGAGGAATCTCGATGACCACGATAGCTTCAATTATCACGTCGATCCTCGTTAATTGAGACCAAGATCGAGGCATCGCGGTCAACGATATCGAAGACCAGAGATCAATCTAACCAGACTTATTTACAGTAATACATATATTATTCTACGTTTCGAAGATCACACTTGGGTGGCAGGGTTGAACATCCCCTTAGAATCGCATTTCTTTTTTTACAGTTTTGGTATCGGTTCACGTCGAGCGTTTTGAACGTCGAGTTCCTCTTTCTAGTCTTTACGTTCTAATATTTACAGATGAAGAGAAAATAAACGTACATACAATATATCACCGCGTACGAATTAACTGGGACGAGTAGGAGAAGTTTCCTATCCGACGTACGCCAATCCAACATAGCAGTTCTCGGAGTCGGCCCAGGCTGAATAAACCGTAAGTCACACGAACACGAGTGGCGTAAGGCCTAGATTGTTCAACTTTGCCTTCCGGTGAGCACTGTGATCGGTTTTAGCAACAACTGCGGAGGACTGTGAAGGAGAGACCTCGGTTGTTGAACGCCAGTGGAGTTGCAAATGGTGACCGGAGGTGAGTGAGGCGACATCGGTTCAGGACTGCTTCCTGGAGACGCGGTGGCTGAGGTCGGTTGACCCAACACCGGGGGTTGATTTACGTGATACCTGGCCGGCTGCTGATTGTGGCCGAACATGGCGGCGGTGGTTTGATGTTGTTGATGCGCCGCCAGTGATCTGAGAGTGGAGTAGAAGTCGTACGGATTGCCGGAGATGGGGATCCCCGAGGTGGTGATGCCGTTTGGATATCCGGTGGCGGTCGGTGGCTGGAGCAGCCTTTCCATGGAGAAAGGTCCGTGTGCTGGAGGTGCCGCGGTGGCTGGCAGCGGCTGAGGTTTGCAGGGCAAATTGCTGGTCGAGCTGGTGGCCGCGCCGGGTAACAAGCTGGCTGGATAGCCGGCGGGAGTGGAATAGGCGCCGCTGGCCGGAGGATACGCGGCAGCGCGATGCAGATACGGAAGCGTGTACAGAGACGCCGGCCATCCGGGTGGTGCGTATGCCGATGGATACAATCCGCCGAGTACCACGCTCCTTTTGAACGCGGCCAACCGAGATCTGGAGGCTGCGGTGGTCCTCCTGCGGAGCTTGCCGGTCGTCCCGCCGATGAACACATCCTCAGAGCTCGGGTCCAGCATCCAGTAGTTCCCTTTGCCCGGGTCATCGTAGTGGCGGGGTACTTTGACGAAACACTTGTTCAACGAGAGGTTATGGCGAATGGAATTTTGCCAGCCTTGTTTATTGTTCTCGTAGTAAGGAAAGTGACGCATTATGTACTCGTAGATGCCGTTCAGGGTGAGCCTCTTCTCGGGACTCTGACGGATGGCCATCATGATCAATGCGTTGTAACTGTAAGGAGGTTTCTCGCACTTTTTCTTCTCGTCACTTTGCCGATCTTTGGAGTCTTTCTGTTCGGAAGAAGAAACTGAGTTCGCGGCGTTTCTGGAGCAATCCAACGGCGGTGTTTCGGTGCCACCGTCCCCCGTTACGTCCAGATCACTGGAATCCTCGCTATCCTCGACGTGACTGATCTCCGGGGAGGTGGACCGACTAACCGATGGTGCCGGAGTCCCGGCACACGCTTCCGGCAGGATACTGCGGATACTGAAATTGCTCTTGAGGGCAGCCCGCGGTGGTGGCGATGCTGTCACCGTGTGCTGCTCACTGGAACCTTCCATATTCACCATACTTTCGACGCGTCGCTTCGAGAATTTTTGTCGCACACTTTTGATTCTCGCGAAACGACAAACGCGATTTTATGATCGATTCGACGAACACATAAAAAAGTTCACAGATTTCAAACGGAAAACACACCACAAATTTTGTAATAATGTTTTTCCTCAGAGTTTATAGTCCTGTTCCTTGCACGGGTCGAACTGGTCTCGTAAGCTAGAATAGATGTTACCCCAACAGAGCGATACCGCGCATTTGCCGTCATCCCCGCCACGCACCGTATTTATACCATCCCTTTGGCCACGCCTCCTGAGCTGCCGACGGCGACAGCAAACAGAGATCGGACCAATCAGCACGGTTGCTGTGCGCTTTCCACCGGCAGCTACGTCTCCCCCCACCATGCTGTTTTGCGGCCAATGTTTGACAGCAAATAATGCAAACAGCGCGGAATTACGACGGGGGCAGGGATTTCGATGGTGGCCGATCGGGCCTGCGCCGGTGGTGGGGTGCGCAGCCGCAAGCTAGACACGAACCCGCGAACCCGAGTATCCAAACAAATCCAAACGCGATTGCTGCGTTTCTACGCCCTCTTACGGCGGCCAAAACTCCGCGGGAAACGCGTTCCTCGTCCACGCATGAATACACCGTACAGAAAGAGGGTGAATGCCCTTTGTTGCTGCTGCCGATGCTTTGCCAGCTTACATTGCCGTTCGATCGAATTGTACAACCTTCGAAATCGATACCTATCCGCGATTATTTTTTTATAGTGAGCGTTCCATAATTTCGTGCATTTGGAGACTAGGGGTGAGATTTTTAGACACAGGGAATTATGGTTTATATAAATCAAGAGAAAGGGAAATGATGGATTTTCGTATGGGTAAGTATTAAAACAAAATAGAACACTTACCTACTAAATTTATAAATTATTGGAAAATTTGTCATTTTTACATTAATTTGTTATTCTAACTCTAAGGAGTGTTAGATTCGCTTCGCTACAGCAATTAAGTAAATTAAGTAAAGGTAATTTATATACAGGCATTGAACACGATGCGTTAATTATTTAGAAAATAAAGAAAAATATACGAATAAACAGCCTAACGAAAGTTCAACAGCTACTTCTAAGAAAAAAGTGCCACTTCAATTTCGACGTCATAGATGTACCTATTACAATTAGCAATAAAGGTTGATTAATACAACTTAAATCCAAGGAATTGGAAAAGGAAAATGGACAATTTAGGCAACCATCGCACCCTGAAAATTGTATTAAATTTCGTCATTCAAAAGGTACAATAGAACAAGTGATGGAGTTTGATATTTTCAAGAAAGGAAACGTTTCAACTTAAATGCACCTGATACATTTCACTATGTAATAGTTGTGCTTAAGATTAACTTGTAAATCAAGAAGGATAAATGAATAAAGAGTACCTACTATAGGGTAGTGGGCATTAATTAGCGAGGGTGGTGAAAGAGGTATTAAGTAAAATTATTTGTAACTGATGTACAAGTTTGTACTTGCAAACTGCAAAACTCAATATATAGCTAAGGAATTTGGTCCACCTCAGGAAAAAACTTAGTTGCACCCCTGAATGTACTATATTTACATCTTGTTCAATTAACTTTTTAATTCTTTTACAATTCGATAACAGAATATCATAGTAAAAGTTAACTAACATTATTTACCGTTACGGTAACAGCGACCGATGATCGGTATTAAACAGAAGAATAATGTCGAATGGCAAATTTCCAAATCGATGTATGGCGTTCTAAGTAGCATTAATGGTTTTCCCACTAGAAGCGCGTAAGTTACGGTTTAAGACGGTAAAGGTATAGGTATAAAGGGGAGGGGTGGCTAGCCCACGACCTGTTAAATCGGATAAACTCAGTCTATTGTTTCACGTTGTTCGACTAACAGGATTAAGTCGTAGGAAATGAGGTGACTCTTATTTCCCGTCACCTGCGACAATAACTATTCTATTTACGTTCCTGAAGCCATTAGTTTCTGATTTTATGACCGATGTTACATCGAAGAAACCTATACAAAACCGCTGTACCCGGGGGTAAAACCATATATCATACCTCTTTCTAGAATTCAATTTTCAAAATTCCAAGCTCGCTTGTCAGTTGTTCCTGGCCATACCAAAGTGTTTGTCAACATGTTGGTCACGAAAGGGGGAAGGTAATTTAGACACTCTTATTTCAGCTGCTTACTAGGTAATTATTTTTTCAAGTAAGTAATTTACAAATTCAAACGCTGAGTCAACCTTCTTTAATTGATAACAAGAATGAAATAGAGCCCCTTTTTTGGAATTTGTCAAGGATTTTATATTTTGTTTTTTTAATTAATTTGTCAAAGGTTAATCTTTGCTAACACTTTTTCTTCTTTTATTGTTAGAATAAAATTTATTTATTTCTGCGTTTAACGATGCTACGAGAATGAAATGAATGACTAATTGTAGATTCTATTCGACGACAATAGCGGATGATCGTGACAATGGAGACCAATCGTTTAGGTGGCTCAATCGAATCGTCTGGACGAGATAATGGCCACCTGTGAGTTCAGAGACGCGTCCAAGCATAGTAGTCGGCTCGTTTTATGTGTGTGCCGTTCTTAAGGACGCAACAGAACGCACGTTTTTCGGGGTAAAGCTCGTTAATCCTAAAAAGGCACCGGTGTCTACTCGAAAACGATGCCTTGTAGATTTCATCTTATTCCGGTGGGAAAAACTCTTGGTGGTCGAAAGAAACCAGAACACACGGAGGCGCATGCCTTTTTCAAAAGTCAGCAAATGAGAAACCTTAAGAACTTGAAATTTTTAATTTTTTCTTAAGAATTTATACAAATTCTCTGCAATTTTTCTGTTTTTGTTATCGTGAAAAATTTTATTCTATTTTTTTTTTATTCATTAAGAAATCTAATTTTAGGCTTCGAAGGGGTTGTTAAAAATCTTAAAATACATTAATCTATTTGCATAAATTTCAGGAGGGATTGCGAGGAAGAGGGGGATGCGGCTGTGAAAGATGACACGGAGGGAAAAGGCACGTGACAAACGTGAAAAAGGGACGCAAAAGGCAAAAAGGACGTGGGTTTCCGAAAGGAGGCATCGGAAGAAGCAAAGAACGTTTTTCGGGTCGCCGGTACATCTTTATACGAACTGCTTGACCCCCCATCGTGAAAACGTCGTCACCCCGTGGCGACCCATCGATTTACCTGTATCCTTGCTGCTCCCACTTTCACGCTGTTTTCGGACTTTCCTATCCATATATTTAAACCTCTCACAGCTCTCACTAACTCTAATAATCGAAAAGTTTGCCAAATTTTTTATAAACATCGATAATTTATAAATTTATTATTAGGTGTATTTTAATAATTTTGATAACAGGTACTTCATGATCCAACATTTTATTATGGACTATTGTTTCTCTGCATTGAAATGATCTGTTTCCAAAATATTTATTTATTCCGTTAATAGATTAGTATTTTTTTATTTGTTCACAGAATTTCAGAAGTTCCTTTTTGTAATGCGATGAGGTGGTTCGAAGCCGTTACTAGCTAAGAAATTCGGCACAGGTCTCCGAACCGTATCAAATCTTAGTCCCAGAACGTTCATTACTTCATTATCGTAGAAGAAATTCGTATTCGTTACAGTTCTGGAAACCGGATGGGTCGTCTATTTTTTTCTTCCCACGGGAAAACTCGAATTTTCCAAAATAGGAATTTGCTATTTTATCTACAATAAGAATTGTTGGAAAATTTCTTAAAATATTTATCAAAGTATCATAGTACTTTGAAAATCATCCTCTCCTAAAAATGTTTTTCTAAAATACCACTATCCAGTATTAAATACTGTCCAAAATTACATGATTTCTCCTTACCTATTTTACTAATTATTAAATAAATTTTCGTTTCAGGGAAGTCTACCATGCCTGGCACTGTACTTCGAAATAGGAGATTCGAGGGATTTGCTGAAAGACCGTGCTCGAACAAGCGGTGGTTCGCTGTGAAACTCGCATCCGTGTCGAATCATATAGCCTGGCCACTCATTACGTCATTATTGGAAGAGTGCGCCAAAGATTCGAAACGAAGCCGTCGCAGCTCCATGACGTCCACTTCCAGCTGTGCGTTCCGCGTCTTCCGTTTTTCGACTTGTCCTCGGCTGTCCTTTTTCACGACGTAGGAAAATCGATTTTCCGGAGCGCACGACGTCTGCGTTCCCATTATTTCATCCCCTTTTCACGAGCAGCCGGGGACTGATGCAACGCACAGGTACCAGCAACGGATCAACAAACGACTCTATTTGCTCAACAAAGCAATCTCCTGTCCGGATTCCTCTTTCTTTATCTTTCGTGCACGAGCCACTAGCGATTCGGCCACGTGTCTTAAAATAATCATTCGTATCTGAAATTTTCTGATACCCACACAGGTGCACGTGAAGTGGTGCATCCTTGATTTGGCAGTCAGCAAGTCAAGCGGATCTTCTCGAGGAGCCAAGGTGTTAAAAACGGCGAGCTTAAGCCAGAGGCGAAGAATAAAAGACGGGAAACGAGATAAACCAGCTAATCTTTGACCGTTTCAAAAGATCATCCTGGTTGAAGTCTTGAAAAAAGAGTTCGACGCTGTTGTGGTTGAGGAAAGTTTCTTGAAAAAGTCAAACGAAATCTGACGTTCCAGCGAGATCAAGGTACCCCTTTAATGTGATTTTCTGAACTTATAAAGTTAAGCGGCGTTCACCCGTCAGAGTTACTTCGTTAATCTATGGAAATGTAGCTAGTGACTTGTTTCATTGATTTTTGTTGGGTACCTTAGAGAAATGTTACGTATACTTCGTTGGAAACAATAACCCCTATTTCTTTCAATATCTTATTATAAAAAATAGTCAAATAATAGTTGAAAAAAGGGAAAAATACTCCTTTATATACATATACATTATAAATAACATATAGTTTGAAAATATTTTCTTATTCAAAGGGTAGGAACTGTGAAAGGCAACGAAGAGGTCCTCTTCCGTTCTTTTTCTAAACCGTCCAAGTTGTATTCACGAATTTGTGAATTTTTGGATTAGCATCCCTCTTTCTACCTTTAATCGGGATTAGTCAGTTCTGAATGCTGCCACGGTACAAGTGGTTTATAAAAATAATACGACGAGGGTGTGGAGTAGAGTGAATGCAACAGGGGTGGTCTGTTGTCCGGTTGTCCTGTCTTCTAAACAGGGGGGGGGGCGGCGTATACCTTTGTCAGAATTAG